AGGAAATATACATATTAGTAGTAACATAGTATTATACACTTTTATATTGTAAATTAACTAAAAAACTACTTAATTTAATAGACCCTAATTCCCCAAAATGTAACTAATATTTCTCTGACGCTAATTCACGTGTGCCATTCTAAGTTTTACTGATATGAAGCAAATATGCCTAGAAAAAAAAAAACTATATGGTATCACAACGAAAAATGACTAGAAAAGAAATTCATGTCACAGGGTTCTATGGCATTCACTGAATGGTATTGATAAATCCAATGAAAGAATCTTCCAAAAAACTTGAAACTATAACAATACAACGAATAAAGAATCTACAAATTTTACTGCAAAAAAAAAATCGACATAGTTTTCAAAAAATTATATACCATACAATGAACAGGTCCTTTTCTTGTATAGCATAAAACCTACAACTGTTTTACTTTAGGTTCTATCATATTAAAAAATATATAAATGCAAAAAATTACTACTTATCTCCCCTGCGGTAGAACAAACAGATGACCGGATCATTCATATGTGCTAACATACCACCCCGTTGAATGTTCAACTATTTTAAGTTAACATCTCATTTCAACATTTATTTATTTAATAAATCAAATTTTTCTAAAGACTACTAATAGAGATCTTTAATACTTTTCATTCCTTTTTTTTTTTTAATAATATAACAAAAATCAATTTGTTTTAAGTTGACAGTTGTATACTAGATCGATAGATTAGTTTACAAATATTACTTAATAGTTAAAAGTAAAAATTTATTATAATTATACAATATCTAAAATTGTAGATTTATCGTTTTATTCTCATTATACTTGGCTTGATATAATTTGTGATCTGAAAATGAATGGCCAGAGATACAAATAATTAAAAAAATTAAAACATCATAGTAAAACTAATAGTATTGCAACTTATTCTGTGCTGGTTGATATATGTTACTAATGAAAATAAACAATTTTTGTAGTTTAATGCAGAAAATATTAGTTAGTTTATAAGAAACTTGTTAATAGTTACTACGGATTCACTTTTTTTTTCTTATATAAGCAGACAAATTTTACGAATACAATTACTTCTTTGAAAATTTTTAATTTAAAGTGTCTATCTTCTTAACTGTTCTCAAAGTCAACATCGTGCAAACCTTTAAGTTTTTAAATAATTTTTTAAATAATCCATAACGATGAAAACGAAGACTCAGAGATTATTTGCTCAACTCAAGCGTTTACGTGAAAATCCTACTTATCCGTTTATAACGCCATCTTTCGTCCATATACACAACTGTAATAATAACAAGTCTGCTATTGTGTCCACTAGTAAGAGTTTACCAAAGGCCAATCCAATATGTTCGTCAACAAAATCTGTGTCAGAAAAACCGCAAATGAAGAATCCACACGGCGTTCCTGTTAAATCGACTTCGACACATATTAACAAATCATCTCCAAAGAAAAAAGTCGCCGTCGATGGCAATGAAAAGGACGCAGTCGGACCCCAGCCAAGATCAAGTACGAAAAAGCTTAGATCTAAGTCGGGAATTCCGAAGGAACCTTCTAAAAATTCATGCTCGTCGAAAAGACCAAACGCTTTCGACGACAATGGGTCTTCTAAGAGACCTAAANTTTCGACGACAATGAGTCTTCTAAAAGACCTAAATACTCGAGCTCTGTCGAGTTACGCCATAGTGCGGATGGATCCAAAAAAAAAATAATCCCAAAGGACATTTCTTCAGCGTCAGATTCGGTAAATGAATCGCAGATCTC